CCCGGAGGATGGCTGGTTAGCCAGAGACGGGTAAGATTCCTCAGGGAAGGAACAACCTAAGACAGGCACAGTCGCAGAGGGGCCATCAGGAGAGAACTTGGGGGCCAACAGAGGTGGGGCACAGACCCTCACCCCCCCAACTTTGCAGGGGCCTGAACCCTCACCTCTTCTGAGGGAGGTCTCCTGCCCCCATGGCTGCTTCGCTTCCCACGCCCAGCTCAGATCGGGACCCAGGTAGCGGACAGAGACCTGGCCAACAGCAACTGCCCTCCGGCTGCAGCAAGAATTTGTTTTCCGTTTGTACCTTGGACCACGGGGAAAGGGGCAGCCAAAGGAAAAGGCTGTGTTGGGTGTCTTCTTCCCTTTTTTCTTCCTTGTTTTCCTGAATGCCTCCTCGCCTTATAGTTCTTTCGCTTTTTCTTTGCTTTCTCTTTCTTTTTACTCTCTACTTCCCTCTGTCTCCCCATCTCTCCCTTGCCCCAGCCCCAGCCTGCCTTCTCTCTCTTTCTCTTCTTTTCCTTCCTTGTCTTCTTCCTTCACCTCCCCTCTTCCTGAACCCCCCCCCTCCGCCTTGCTCATCTCCCTGCCCCAACATCCTGTGCCATCCCTGTGGTGTGTTCTGGTCTTGGCCACGGCCAGACCAGGCAGAACTGATGGATACCTGTTGAGGCAGCGGAGCCCTTGGGCTCCCACCCCATTCCCTCCTCCCGGGGCTGCACAGGTGAGTAGGTGGAAGGTAAGGGGGGCAGGGAGGGGAAGGAGGTCCTGGCTTAAAGCCTGGGCTGGGAGTGCTGCTCTGTGGCGCTCGGGTCAGGCAGCAAGAAGAGAGTCAGCCTTCAAGGCAGTCATTTCTGGGTGCCCCGGGTGAGGTGGGGAGTGGGGCCTCTTTCCCCAGAGCTCCGAGGCTGGGGAGGAGTGAGAGGGCAAGCGGATGGGGCGGGCGGTCCCTTGGGCATTGGAGTGTTTGCTCCTAGAGCAGCTCAGGAGGCACGGTGGCTCTGAAGCATCACTCACTTCTGTCCCGTTTTTGACAGCGCCATTCGAGAACGATTTCCCAAATTACTACGCCTGGTAAGTCCGTAGCTCTTTAAATTCTTTTCTAACGATCATAGGCTCTCCCACCCAAAAGCTCTTGCCTCATGTATGTTCGTATGACCCTTAATTTGGAGACAACGAAGACCTTTGAGAATCTGGCAAAGGCTATAATCCTTCTCAGAAAAAGGCCCGTAGACAGAAGTTGCCTCTGTCGGGATTCCTGGACCTTTTCTGTGTGTCCTTGACCCTTGATCTCTGACCCCTCATTCCTAGTTTGCCCATGTCATTACTCATCCAGCCTTTTCTCTGTGATTACACTGTCGACTTCCCACAGGATGGCCATGAGTTACCCCCGCCAATTGCATTTGATGTTGAAGCCCCCACAATGTTACCTCCCTGCAAGGTAAGAAGGGGGCAGCGCTAGAACTCATGTTGGGAGGAGAGGATTGGTTACATGGTCTTGATACCTATGTGTGATTCCAGGGAAGCTACTTTGGAACAGAGACCCTGAAGAATCTGGTCCTGCACTTCCTGCAGCAGTGAGTATGCAGCTCCCCCCTCCCTCTGCCCCCGGCTGGGGAGCGGTGGGCGGGTCCTGGCACAGCTCCCTCTGGGGAGCCAGACCCGGGAGCTCAGACTGTCCCTTTTGTGTTCTCCGCAGGTACTATGCGGTGTACGACTCTGGAGACCGGCAGCGGCTCCTGGACGCCTACCACGACGGGGCCTGCTGCTCCCTCAGCATTCCCTTCACGCCCCAGAACCCTGCCCGGTGAGTGTCCCCGCCCACAGCCTGCCCAGGACCGGGCAGGCGAGCACCTGCTAGCGCGCACACGGCTCTGATCCCTGCCTCCTTGTCCGCCTCTTCCTCTAGAAGCAACCTGGCCGAGTACTTCAAGGATAGCAGGAATGTGAAGAAGCTCAAAGACCCGAGTAAGTGTGTGACGTGAGCAGAGGGGGGTGGGAAAGGGGGGGCAGGCGGGACTCGGGCGCGGGGCTTGGGAGCGTGCAGCAGCCCCTGACCTTGGGTTCTCCTCTCCCACAGCCCTGCGGTTCCGGCTGCTGAAGCACACACGTCTCAACGTTGTCGCCTTCCTCAATGAGCTGCCCAAGACTCAGCACGACATCAACTCTTTTGTGGTAGACATAAGTGCGCAGACAGTAAGCACCTGTTTCTTGCCCACAAAAGCCGGAACTGAGGAAGGGCAGTTACGAGGCCTGGGGGCCTCCGGCTCTGGCCGGGAGCCTGCATGGTGACAGGCGCCTCTTCTCTTTCAGAGTACGTTGCTGTGTTTTTCTGTCAACGGGGTCTTCAAAGAAGGTAAGGAGCTTTGGAGTCCTGAGTCTGCAGAGTGGGCCCTCCCTCAGCACCCTCCGCCCCCTTCCGTCCCCGCCCCCGCCCTCCTCCTCGTCTGCCCCCAAGCCACCTTCCTGAGGCCTCCCCTCCCCACCTGTCTTTCCTGTCTGGGAAACGGGACAAGCCTGGGGCTTGGGAGGACACAGACTCTGGGGGCAGGCAGATCTGGGCTTCCATTCCAGCCTCGGGCCCATGGGTCTGTGGGCAACTTACATCATCTCTGGGCTTCGAATTCTTTGTCAAAGGGGGTTGGTAAGAGCCATCTCACAGCCGTGCCGTGGGGAGCCAGCGGAGCGCCTGACACAGGAGCTGGCGCCGGGGTCCTCTGGGTGGGCTAACGCTGGTGGTGGTTCGCCCTGGCCTCCGACATTCCTCTTCCTCTGCTCCCCTCTACACACACATAATCGTCTGTCTGGTCTGCTTCAGTTTAGTTGTATCCAGTAAGACCAGGATTGGAGAAGCTTTTAGTAAACCTGAGGTGTAGCTGATTCTAAGGGGTCGTTGCTGTTGTTAACATTACAGTGGATGGAAAGTCTCGGGATTCTTTGCGAGCCTTCACCCGGACATTTGTCGCTGTTCCTGCGAGCAACTCAGGGTGAGTGAGTGGCTTACCAGTTGGGGTCCCAGTCCCCATCTGTGGCCAGCATGTGGGAATTGGTGGGGGGATGTGAAGGGGGAGCGAGTCCTCAGGAAATGTTCAGAATTTCAGGAGGAGGCTCTCAAAGTGGTGGTGAGCTCGGCTCTGGAGCCAGACTGTTTGGGTTTTTCATCTGGCTGCACCACTTCTAGCTAAGAGCAAGTTTCCTCATTGGGAAACTAACATAAGCTACTTACTTCTTTGGTCTATTGTGAAGATCAGTGGGAATAAGAACTTCCCTGAGTTGGGGGAGAATGTGTAATTCTAATGTTGTTTGGCATCTGCCCCCATATATGGCTTCTTAGGGGCGTAAGGGGCGTAAATGATAAAAAGTAATGACCAAGAGTGAGGAGGGGGACTTGGTGGGTATTGAAAGAATCTGTCAAGTGTAAAAGTGTCAAGTGTGAGAACAGGAATAATGGGAAGTTGAGGTTGGCTGTTTGTCCAGCTGTCTAAAGTGCTTTTTGTCCCGAAGGCTGTGCATCGTGAACGACGAGCTCTTTGTGCGGAATGCCAGCCCTGATGAGATCCAGAGAGCCTTTGCCATGCCTGCACCCACCCCTTCCTCCAGTCCAGTGCCCACCCTGTCCCCAGAGCAGCAGGAAATGCTGCAGGCGTTCTCTACCCAGTCTGGCATGAACCTTGAGTGGTCCCAGAAGTGAGTACTGGGCATGTGTAGGAATAGGGGTGAACGGAGGTAGGGGTGGAAGTGAATAATGAGTGCTCCTGACATTTTGAAAGCCAAAATTTATAAATATGGCCCATAAAAAAATTTGGCCTATGCCTAAATCAGCATAGCAAAAATTTTATATACTATTCTGCAAGTTACTTTTTTTGCTTATCCCATGAATGTCTTTCCCTATCATTATAAAAATTACCTTAGGGGCGCCTGGGTGGCTCAGTTGGTTAAGCGACTGCCTTCGGCTCAGGTCATGATCCTGGAGTCCCGGGATCGAGTCCCGCATCGGGCTCCCTGCTCAGTAAGGGACTCTGCTTCTCCCTCTGACCCTCCCCCCTCTCATGTGCTCTCTCTCTCTCTCTCTCATTCTCACTCTTTCAAAATAAATAAATAAATCTTTAAAAAAAATAAAATAAAATAAAAATTAACTTAGTCTTCTTGATAGCTACTTAATACTCCTTTGTATCCAGTAGACCAGTGATAGGCATTTGGATTTTTACTGATTTTCCATTTGTAATACATAGTGCAAGAATGTATGTAATTGTTGGCACACATGGGTGAGTGTTTCTCTAGGAAGGATTTTGAAGTGGCGTTTAGTGAGCAGGGCGCTCTTCTCCCGCTCCAGGTGCCTTCAGGACAACAACTGGGACTACACCAGATCTGCCCAGGCCTTTACTCATCTCAAGGTAAGTTTTGGAAATTCGGTAGCAAAAAGACCAGGGATCTCTGGGCCTTGAGAGGGTCAAGCCAGCTGGGGGGGAGGGGGGAAAGGGACTGGCTCTAACTGACCTTTTCTTTTTTTTCTAAGGCTAAGGGCGAGATCCCAGAAGTGGCGTTTATGAAGTGATCTGTAGCCCTGCCCCAGAAGCAACCCCCTGTAAAATAGCCCTTGGATATTGACGTCTCCTTGTCCTGGCTGTCGGCTGTTGTCTCCTCCTCTCTGGCCCCTAGGCCACCCCGTGACTGTGACCGAAGAGGAAGGGCTGCTGGATCCCTCTCCTCACCTGCCTTCTGGAAGACTTTTGGGAGACTTCCAGAAGATTGAGCCTCGCTGGTGCCAGGAAGCCAAAGCTTACTTTGTAGAACTGACACTAAACTCCCCCGAAGGATTTAGGTGCTTTGTGTACTTAACCCCAGAATCCGCCGTACTTTTTAAGATAAAGAGTGATATTGTATTTTGTGTCACGGTGCTACATTGTTTCTGCCTCGCCCCTGCCCGCGGGGCGGTCGGGGTCCCCCTTCCCCCACCAGGGAGGATGGCCTCTAAGCTCGGGGGCGGGGCCGCAGGCCGGATGTCCCGCCCCGGAAGCGGCGACGCGCTGGGGCCATGGCGGCGCTTGGGCGGCGGTGGCCCGTGCGGCTGCTCGTCGCACTGCGGCTCCTGCACGACGGGGCGCCGTCGCGGGACGTGCTGCTCTTCAAGCACGAACGGGGCCGCTTCTTCGCCGTCCTCGGGCTGTTCTGCGCGGGCCAGGGCGTCTTCTGGGCGTCCCTGGCCGTGGCAGCCTTGGCCCGGCCCCCGGCTCGGGCGCTGCCTCCAGACACGGAGCCCGCAGACCGCGGCCGCTGGGACCTGCGCTCCGCGCTCTGGCGCTACGGCCTGGCCGTCGGCTGCGGCGCCATCGGTAAGGCGTGGGCTGGCTTCCAACACGGGGACGTGGGGCGGCTGGACACGGCCCTCCCTGCCCCGGCCAGGACCGAGCGGGGCTCCCGACCCTCCGGGCCGGGCCACGCTGGAGTTGAGGCCCTAGAGCCAAGCCCTCGGACAGGCCTAGGGTGAGGTTTGCCTCTCACTGTGCGAGCTCGAGCAGTTAACACCGCTCTGGCCCGTCTCGCCCTTAAAACGGGGGTGTACATGAAGGTTGTTGGGGAGGAAGGACGAACACAAGAGTCGGGTAGAAGAGGGGCTCGGTAAATGTTACTGTCATCACAGTTTCTTAAATTCTGGGCCACTGGAAACGTTGCCGCTTAGCTCTTCAGCAAAAACCCCTCACCCCAAACTTTGGTCTTCCTGCAGGTACCCTGGTACTTGGCGCTGGTCTTCTCTTCTCCCTCCGTTCTGTGCGTTCAGTGATGCTGCAGGCTGGAGGGAAGCAGGTGACCCTCACCACTCATGCCCCCTTTGGCTTGGGTGCTCATTTCACCGTCCCTTTGAACCAGGTATCCTGCATGGCCCACCGTGGTGAAGTCCCTGCTATGTTGCCTTTGAAGATCAAAGGCCGGCGCTTCTACTTCCTCTTGGACAAAGCTGGACATTTCCCCAACACAAAACTCTTTGACAATACTGTGGGTGCCTACCGCAGCTTGTGAAGAAACCACCTTGGGTCGCTCACCTCTCCCAGAGGGGAATAAAAACCGAACCTTGGAGATGGGGTGACAACCAAGGGCAGGACACAAGGGGGCCCACGGTTCCTGAACAGCAAATAAAAGAGCAGTCATCCCGAGGGCAAGGGACAGAACCTCTGACTTTTGTTCCATGTCTGTTTAGTTCTGTCCTCCCATCCACCTGCCTACGGTGCTTTAACACCAAGAACTCAGTAACATGATGAAGGAAGAAAGTAATATAATATTCTGGTACAAAAACAGCTGTAGGAAGAGAGGTGGAGGGGGCCTATCATCATGTTTCCCTCGTGGAGGGAAAACAGGCTCCCAGCATAAACAGGGCCATGAAGGGGCAACAGGATCGTAGGCACTTGGGCACAGAGTCTTTGGCTGCAGGAAGCATTCTTTGGTCACTTTTCAGGAATGGGAAAGGCGTGGCCCAACGAGAGCATCTGTCTCAGAGCTCCATTCAGGGTCGCCCCGTTCCAGAGGCCGGTATGGGGCGGCTTCGGACTTCCACTGCACCACCTGAAGCACCAAGACCACACACCACAATACCAGATTCACCCAAGAAGAGGTCTGTGGGAGACAGGAACAGGAGTGTGAGGAGTGTGGCCATCTCAAACCCAGTTCCACCCACAAACCACTATTCTCTGTTCACAGTCAGGTTGAAAGCCCTTCAGCCTCTCACTGGAGGGCACCCTTAGCAACTACAGATGCTTATAGGAATCCGCGGATCCCTGGGTTTCCACCGGTCTTTCATATCCCGGGATCTCACTTCAGCATTGTGTAGGTTGGAGTAAAACTGCAGGGCGGTTCCAGGGGGTGTCCATGGAATTTTCTGAGCTTCAGAGCAGCTGTGAGGTCAGAGAGACAGTGGTGAGAAAAGGAGGATATACCCCGAACACACCCATGCCCAGGTGCCCTTCAAGTTGAGAGCAACTGACAGGAACAGAAAGGGGGTTATAGCTCCCCTCTGCAGAGGGAAGGCAGCCCCAGCCGGGGTTCCCTCCCTCTCCCATTACCTAATTGTAATGTTCAAGGAGATGATGGATTTGCAGAGAGAACGGGTGCCAAATCGAAGAATACAGGCAGCCACTAAGACCAGGAAGATGGCTGTAGCTGAGATGACCAGTGCAATGCGGAGCCCTATGGGACCTCTATGAGGAGGGAGAGAGTAAGCTTCGTGGTTGAGGTGCGACTTCTCCCAGCTCAGCCCCCCGCCTTCAGCGTAGGGCAGTCACCTGTGGGAGTCCTCGATGCAGCTGCTGTAGACCCAGAAGAGCAGAAGCAGGAGACAGTAGAGGGCCAGGAGGCCAGAGACCCCTGCCACAAAGTAGCAGAGGGATGGGGCCGAGGGTTGGGCTAAGGCCGGGGAGGAGCCATTCAGGGCGGCCACACCATACAGGGGACAGCGGCCACTGAAGGAGCCCTGTGAAGAGAAGCTGCTGAGTCCTACCTAGATTTCAGGTTAGAGCCTCAGTGCAGGCTCATGGCAAGTGTGAGGGATAACCTAGTAGAGGGCTACCCTAGGAAGTTCTATATACACTGTCAGTTCCTGTTTCTGGGCCAGTACACTGATGGAGAAGGCCTGCGGGGGAAGTCAAACCTGCGGTGGCCACAAAGATCAGGAAATAGGCGGTGGTTATAAAGGACAGTGAGCTTCGGAGATGCCTCACAAGTTCTGGTCTCCCCTCGGCAGAAATCCTAGTGTAAAACCAGAACTTGTGTAGCCTTCAGCTATCTCCGGTGTTTTCTCATCCATTAAAAAAAAAAAAAAAAAAAAAAAAGTCCTAAGAGGGGCGCCTGGGTGGCTCCGTCGTTAAGTGTCTGCCTTTGGCTCGGGTCATGGTCCCGGGGTCCTCGGATCGAGCCCCGCGTCGGGCTCCCTGCTCAGCGGGAAGCCTGCTTCTCCCTCTCCCTCTGCTTGTGTTCCCTCTCTCGCTGTGTCTCTGTCAAATAAATAAAATCTTAAAAAAAAAAAAAAAGTCCTAGTAGTGCCTACTTTGTAGGGTTACATGAGCCTGTGCTTATGAACACGACTGCCTGGCTGGGGAAACCCTAGGGCTTTCCGTGGGCGTTTCCTACATGGCTGTTTTGTCATTCACACACACTGGGCTGCAATCCTGCGGTAGCCTGGTCATCTCCGCTACACTAAGCTTTATTTCCTGGAGGAGCTCGACACAACAGTGTCTGATTTCAGGGATGAAGGCAGGGCCTGCACCGAATTCTGCGGGCAGAACCAGTGTGAGGTCGTGCAGCCGGAGCCACCAGGCCGGGCTATGTCTGCCGCTGTAAGTCACTCCTGAGGACTCGTCCTTTCGGCGAGGAAACGGCTGTGAAGCAGAACGCCGGCGGGCGGAGCCGCAGAGCGCGATCGGCGCCGATGCCTCCTGGCCGCAGACCGGCGCCCGCAGGGCCTCACCGGGCCCACCGGCTCCCGGGAGCAGCGCGACGGCACCCGGCCGGCCCGGACAGCAGAGCCAGCACCCCCGCCCCGCCTCACCTCCCCGACCCCAAGGCCGGCCCCGCCCCGCACCTGGGTCCGGGTCAGCGTCGCGGCCGCCACGGCCCCGCACAGGAAGGCGGCGGTGAAGAGCAAGAGCTCGAAGCGCTGCAGCCAGGGCAGCGCCATGGCGCCCCCACCACCAGGAAGGGCCGCTGCGGGAGCCAACCGCCCAAGCCCCGCCTCATCCGGCGCGACCCACGAGCGCGGGGACGTCACTTCCGACACGGGGCTTTATTTACAGAGGCGGGGGAACCGAGCGAGCCAGGAAAGCGCCGTTCAGAGCGGCAGGTACAGCGAGTAGTCCGAGAGTGCCCAGCGGCGGGCCGGCCGGCCGGTGCGGCCGATCATGGGCAGCTTCTGCACGTAGCGGGAGGCCGGGCTGGGCCCGTACGGCGCGGGGAAGGCGGTCTGGAAGAGGCGCCCGCGGCACCGCCTCCCGGCCTGCCGCCCGGCAATAATGAAGCAGAAGTGGGGGGCGCCGCGCGGGGCGAAGCGGCTCTTCTGGAAAACGTCGCGGGTGCCGGCGCCGGGCCCCTGCTGCCGGGGCGCCCCCCGCGCCCGGTGCACGCGCGGCAGCGGCCGGCTCTCAGAGGCGGCGGGCGCAGAGGCCGCCGCGGGGCCGCCGCCGCCGCGGGGGCTCTCGTCGCCCTGGGGGCTGACCATGGCGTTGGCCGTCAGTTGCGGCATCTTCCGCACCGAGTCCGGGGCGGCCGCCGGCTCCTTCTTGTCCCCGGGCGGCCGCGGAGTGGTGGGCGCGGGCTGACCCGTGCCAAAGCGGGTGGCCAAGCTGTCCCCGAAGAAGGCGTACAGCTCCCGGTAGATGTCCGCCAAGGTCACCGATGGGGAAGGGTCCTCCGGCCCCGCGCCTCCTGGCGGCAGCGGGAGGACAGACCCAAAGCCTGGCTCCGCGCTGCCCCCGGAGGGAGACTCCTGCAGAAGAAGGCTGTCCCAGGGCAGGTCGTCCGAGCGCCGGCACCCCCTGCCGCTTGGGCCCCCCTTGTTGGGCTCTGCCGCCTGGGCCTTCATCTTCAGCAGTCGCTCCACGGCCACCTGCAAGAGCAGAGGGACCAGGGTAGGCAAGAACTAGGAGGAACCTGGGCCCATCAAGTTTTCCAAAGCTAAGGCAGGTGAGCTGCTGAGCTCAAGCAGGGAAGAAGGGAGGCGCAAAGGCGCAGGCACTCACCAGAATGGCTCCGTAAACCTTGTGCCCATCTGCTTTAACCTGGGCGTTAGAGACGGAATAATCATCTAGCACAGCCTGCAGATTTGTCCAGTAAGTGGACAGGTGTGGGTACAGGACGCGTTCCACTGCCTGGAAGGGAGAGAAGGCAGGCAGTAAGCACCTCTCTGTTGCTTATTGCCTCTCAAGTACCCTTTCCCATGAAAGACCTACTTTTATCTCCGATATGAAATTAGCTTGGCATATTCAGCCAACATTTATTTGGAACCCACTGTATGCCCAAGCCTTTGCTAATAAGCACTGGGAATAAAGGTCAGGTACAAAAACAATATAAAGTGACCCAACTATCACTGACCTGTATGACAGAGGCTAAGAGGGTATATATAAGTAATGCCCATTGCGAACAACAGACAAATTTAATTTGCCAGCTGCTACCCTATATGGTCAGTAGGCAAGTATTCTTGCTGAGATGTAAACTGGGACTCAGTTCAAACCACCTGCATAAAAACAAGCAACTGATCAGAGACCTGGTCTCTGATTATGTATCAAATTTTAAATCCTGTGATTAATTTTCGGGAAAGCAATTAAGACTTCACAGAGGAGGTGACCTCTGTTACGCGCTTTGCTGGGTGAGAGTTCTCCGTTGGTCATCCACAGCCTAAGGATTTGAAAATGTTAACAAATGGGTTAAGTTCCTAGAGAAATATAACTTACTGCTGACTCAGCTATAAAAACTTAAATTCTCTACCCATAGTAGGTAACCAACCGCAAATAAAAACACTTTGCTAAAATTTACAAAGACAGTCTACAGATATTCAAGGAAAAGAGCATCTCAATCTTACAAAAACAAACGAGGAAGAAATGCTCCCACCCTACCTCAGTCTATAAGGCCAATATAACCCAGATACTAAAACTCTACAAGGACAGTACATGAGAAGAAACTTATGATTGATTTCACTCGTGAATACAGAAAAATCTTTTAAAATTTAGTAAACCCAACAGTATACAAAAAATGCCTTGTATTCCAATAAAAGATTTAGATTTTTTAAGGTCTATACTATAGCCTATTTGAGTCTATACAGAGAAATGTAATGATGGTTTACTATTAAAAACCCATAAATAGGGGCACCTAAGGCGGCTCAGTCAGTTGGGCTCTTGGTTTCCACTGGGCTCAGGTGGTGATCCTGGGGTCATGCAATGCACAGCCGGCTTGAGTGCTTATCCCTCTCTCATCCCCTCCCTCTGCCCCGCTCTCAAGTGTGAAAATGCTCTCTCTAAATAAAATCTTTTTTAAAAATCCATAAATACAATTAATCACATTAACAGATAAAAGCAGAAAAACCTGAGGATCAATTCAAAAGATATAGAAAAAGCATTTGATACAAATTCAACATAAATAATAAAACAATATGAAGTAATTTTCTTAATCTGAGAAAGGATATCAATAAACACAAG